GGGAGGGGCGAGAAGGGCAGCTGCTCAGGACACAGTGCTGTCATGGGTGCAGAACTTGGGCAGCGCAGAATTGGGCCCAGCAGCATCAGCCCCCTCCCTGCTCAGGATTAGGCCCAGCAGTGTTGGCTGAAGTCCATGAGCGTAGTTTTTTTGGAGGGGGCTTACCCCTCCCCCCACCCCAAACAGGGGTCTGGTCCTGGTCCAGAGCTGTTTATTGCTGCCTCTGCAGCTGTACGCCACCTCCTGGGTCCTAGTGCCAGTTGGCTTCCCTTTCTACCTACGCTGGATGCCCTATATGGCCACAATCCTGTTTTCTGTACAAAGGTGAGTGCCCACAGGCAGGAGGAGAAGCAGGGCAAGGGTGGGGGTGGAAGTGAGGAAGGAAGGGGAATGGGATAGGGCAGAGGAAAGATAATGGGATAGGGAAATGGGGCAAGGAGAGGAGTATGTGGGAGTAGGGGGTGGGGGATGGGGCAGAGGACAGTAGGGAAAGGGGATCATAGAATCATAGAATATCAGGGTTGGAAGGGACCTCAGGAGGTCATCTAGTCCAACCCCCTGCTCAAAGCAGGACCAATACCCAATTAAATCATCCCAGCCAGGGCTTTGTCAAGCCTGACCTTAAAAACTTCTAAGGAAGGAGATTCTACCACCTCCCTAGGTAATGCATTCCAGTGTTTCACCACCCTCCTAGTGAAGAAGTTTTTCCTAATATCCAACCTAAACCTCCCCCACTGCAACTTGAGACCATTACTCCTTGTCCTGTCCTCTTCTACCACTGAGAATAGTCTAGAACCATCCTCTCTGGAACCACCTCTCAGGTAGTTGAAAGCAGCTATCAAATCTCTCATTCTTCTCTTCTGCAGACTAAACAATCCCAGTTCCCTCAGCCTCTCCTCATAACTCATGTGTTCCAGACCCCTAATCATTTTTGTTGCCCTTCGCTGGACTCTCTCCAATTTATCCACATCCTTCTTGTAGTGTGGGGCCCAAAACTGGACACAGTACTCCAGATGAGGCCTCACCAATGTCGAATAGAGGGGAACGATCACGTCCCTTGATCTGCTCGCTATGCCCCTACTTATACATCCCAAAATGCCATTGGCCTTCTTGGCAACAAGGGCACACTGCTGACTCATATCCAGCTTCTCGTCCACTGTCACCCCAGGTCCTTTTCCGCAGAACTGCTGCCTAGCCATTCGGTCCCAAGTCTGTAGCTGTGCATTGGGTTCTTCCGTCCTAAGTGAAGGACCCTGCACTTATCCTTATTGAACCTCATCAGATTTCTTTTGGCCCAATTCTCCAATTTGTCTAGGTCCCTCTGTATCCTATCCCTGCCCTCCAGTGTATCAACCACTCCTCCCAGGTTAGCATCATCCGCAAATTTGCTGAGAGTGCAATCCACACCATCCTCCAGATCATTTATGAAGATAAATGGGATGGGATGGGGAAGAGAAGGGGCGGGAGAAGCAGGAGCCCTGCAGGCAGTATCCCCGTGGGAGCAGCAGCTAGGGCTCCTCCATTAAGCCAGTCCATCCCCAGCCCAGCATTGGCAACCCATCTCCAGTGGGTACCCCTGTCGCAGTTACCCCCTCCAGTGCCCTACAAATACCTTCTCCAAATATCCCTCCCAGCACACAGACACCCCTCCAGGACCCCATCCCCCTTCCCCAGTTAATGTGCTTTATTTGGGAATTTGAAATATGGTAACCCTAGGAGTTGCTCTGTTCTCATGGCCTTGGTTTCTGGAGCTGGCAGGAGCGAATCCACCCTGTCAGCAGCTGCCTGCCCCCAGCCCCTGGGCTGGGCACCAGTCTCACGTGGCTGAGCTCAGGCTGTGTCACTGCTCTCCTTGGCTGCTGGGCTCGCAATGGGTAGTTCTACTCTGTGTGTAGGGAGTGTGGTGAGAGTGACCAGGCTGCAATGGCAGGCCCCTGGGCAGCGAGTGGGCTGTGACCGGGCTGCTGTGAGGCAGGGGCCCCAGGGGAATGAGTGCTCCAGGGAAAATCTTATGGCAACCAGGCTTCATGCACAGTGGCTGGTTAAAGGGGGCATTGCCGGCTGGCACCAAGCTCCTTTGGGGCAGAGGCAAGAGGGTGTCAGGAGCTCGGAGCAGTGCCACCGCTCTGCCTGGGGAGTGCCTGGCTTCGCAGAGGTGGCCTGACTCGGGGAACAGGGCAGGGAAGGCTGCTTGGCAGCCAGCCAGCACTCCGGCTCCCACAGCACAGAGAGCCAGGGGCCTGAGCAGACCGAGCAGCTCCCACCAGCTTTCGATCTGCTGGCCTCTAGTAGAAGGTAACCGTTTTAAAACTGTGGGGTGCATCTCCCTCAGAAGGTGTGCCCCACAGTTTGAAAACCTCTGTGCCAAATGGGAGGCAGAATTCTGGGAGGGAGGGCATGTGGCCCTGCATGCCCCCCCCCCACAGCACCTCTAGGGGGAGCAAATATGATTGTTCACCCCAGGTGATAAAATGCTTAGTTACAACTCTGCAACAGAGACCTTCCCCGGCTACAGAAAGCACAAACCTGTCCTGCACTAATGACTGCACTTTTTGGCCATCATCCTTACTTTTCATTTTAGTTTTTTTCCACAGAAAATCTCTTCAGAAACGCAGGAGTACTTCTGATGACAATGTTACAACACTACAACATCCCTTCCCCAATCAGCAGAAAGAGACAAACAAATCTGATAGTCCATTTGAGTAAGGTGCTTATCAGCCACACTGGGGATTAAAGCATGTATTAATTCTCTGTAGAACTCTTAACTGGTATATTTCTCGTATCTATCTTATGTTTTGGAGGAAAGGGACTAAGTTTTCTCTACTACATAACTTAGTTTGGTGAAATGGGAAGTTGTAAAATATATCCCTTCATAATGGAAAAATTGTTCCTAACATACAGATAAGAGACAATAGTTCAGAAAGATTCCAAGCACCTTCTCATTTCTCTTTTGAATATTTATTCCATTTTTCTAACTTTTCTCTACGAGTTTTCTGGATTTTCACTGAACCAGGAATTTTCAAAATATCAAATTTTCAACATTTAGTTTTCCCCCCTCTTTCTGTGCCTTTTTTCCTTTCTGCCACCGAATGAGATAGTGTGCTTGTCTAGATTATTTTCCATTGTTCTTTTTTTCCATTTCTCTCTTTCTAATTTAATTTTTCCTTTTGTCCCCTCTAACTTCTCAAAATCTACTCAACTTTGGAAAAGTTAGAGAAGCAAAAGGAAAAGTAGGAAAGTTCAACTAATCAACCCACCCAACCCCTGAATGTTATTCATATTATTGTATTCTGTGGCAAAGAGGGAAGAAAAGAGGAAGGGGGAGGGGGAGAAACATTTTAAAATTCAAAATGTCAAAATAAAAAAATATTTGGTGAAAACTTAAATTCTTCCACTTAGGACCCTGTAAAACAAACAACTACAAAAATATGAAATTTTTTTTGTGAAATATTTTTCCATTTTCCAGACAACTGATTGTAACATACTTTGTTTTTCCTCAAAAGAGGTGAAGGTGCTAAAACAGCAAAACAAGACAAATGAAAAATACAAATTTAATAAAATTAAAATATTTCATCTCCTAAAATGTCATTTTATCAGGTCAGATGCCAGATCCTCAGTTGCACAAGATTATCTTGCTACCAAGGAGGAGAGGAGATGAACAAAAATGTGTTTAAGCCACCTTAGATTACAACATGCCCTCAGTATAAACCTGGATCAGCCTGAGATCTGTTCTAAATTATGCTAGCTTGTAATGGCCACCAAAGAGCCCTTACACTGGCCAGGTATTACCAAAGCACAACACACTCCAGTGACACCCCTTCTCAACTGAACCCCACTAAACTGGCCTCTAGGGCACCCAGAGTCGCCTCAAGGGCCAAACTAAGGCAGCTTTCCAGGCCCTCTGTGCTGCTGGAGTAGAACAAATGGGCTGGGAGAGGGACCAAGATCTGTCTAGTACACAATAGTACAGTATGGCACATATGAGGCCAAATTCTCTCTTCAGTGAAACAAGTGCAACTGAAAGGAGACCGAGGATCCCTATGTTTACTGTACAGAATTTTGTAAAAGAAATTATTTTTTGAATAATTTAATTATTTGAGAAACAATATGTAATTATATATGGAAAGACCATGTTAAGAATTGCACATGAAGGCAGAAAATTAAGATTTAACTTTCAACCTTAATTCTATTTCTTGACAATTGAATGCTTGACTTCTCAACATTAATGTCCTATTTCTGTTTGTCTTTTCAACGGAATAATTATTTTGTGTGACAAAGTTCCTCCTCTACCTTGGTGGGTCTTGCGCTTATTGGCGGATTTGCTCGCCTCGGAGCTTCATGGCAGCCCTTAGTTTGGCCGTTTTCGTGAACCCACAGTCCAGGTCAACTCCTCCTGTGTCTGACCAGGAGTTGGGAGGTTTGGGGGAGGGGGAACCCGGGCCCGCCCTCTACTCCAGGTTCCAGCCCAGGGCCCTGTGGAATGCAGCTGTCTAGAGTGCCTCCTGGAACAGCTGTGCAACAGCTACAACTCCCTGGGCTACTTCCCCATGGCCTCCTCCAAACACCTTCTTTATCCTCACCATAGGACTTTCCTCCTGGTGTCTGATAATGCTTGTACACCTCAGTCCTCCAACAGTATGCGTCCTCACTCGCAGCTCCTAGCGCCTCTCGCTCCCAGCTCCTTACACGCGCACCACAAACCGAAGTGAGCTCCTTTTCAAGCCCGGGTGCCCTGATTAGCCTGCCTTAATTGATTCTCGCAGCTTCTTGATTGGCTGCAGGTGTTCTAATCAGCCTGTCTTAATTGTCTCCAGAAGGTTCCTGATTGTTCTGGAACCTTCCCTGTTACCTTACCCAGGGAAAAGGGACCTACTTAGCCTGGGGCTAATATATCTGCCTTCTATTACTCTCCTGTAGCCATCTGGCCCGACCCTGTCACAATTTTGGTAATAGGATGTCAATATATTCGGTTTCTCCAAAGCAACTGTTGGAATACTTACCTTGCTACATGATTAATTACTGGAGCAAAGTTTGTTGGTCCATAAAGCTGTACAGATTTTAAACTTCTATAGTATGCCTCCATTACACCATCAATTCCATTGCAATAGGGATTTTGAGGGTTTCCATTCTAAACAGTTAAATAACATTGGATAAGATTGATTAATAACTGAAATATTAACAAATCAAAATAAGCAGTATCACAATATACAGAGAAAGTTCTCATATGATAGTTAACTGAACATCTTGTGTTCATCTGAGGTATAAAACAAAAGACTAATACTGTATGGAGTGTTGTTGCAGTTGTGTTGGTCCCAGGATATTAGAGAGAGACAAGGTGTGTGAGCTAATATCTTTTATTGGATCATGTTTTGGAATATATTACTACTTAATTTCTTATTTAAAACATTTCAGGAAAAATAATATGATGGCCAGACCCCAATGTATACACAGTATATAAGCATAAGGGATGCTGTAGTCTTTTATTGGCTTCAATATTCTGCTCTCTACTGGGCAAGCTGATCCTGAGCATGATTGGACCTAGTACATAAGGGGGACAAATGGGACCTGTGATCTCACTATGCTGGGAGACACAGGACTGCTTGGAATTCCTGTACTTGAGACTAAGCTTTTTGGGGCAGGTTTTTTTTACTACATCTCTATAACACTTATCACACTGAATGCCTATGCACAATGGGCTGCCAATTTTGAGGAACCTATTTATTTGTTTCATAATATGTAAATATGTGAAATCCCAGTTTAAGATTCCATACTGAATCTCAAGGCTGGTAGTTACAAAAAACTCTTAACTTCTGAAATTATTTGATTTTATGAGCCAGTTGTCCAGCTATAGATAACACCCGCAGGCCTCAATCATGACGTTAAACTACTACCACCACCAAGCATTTGGTGAATACTCTTGCAATCATTGCATACTCAAAGGGCAGTGCACCTTATACTGCTAGTGACTGAAAGTACACAGAGATATATCCTGTGTCTTCTTTTAGTGAAATGTAGACATAAGCATCTTGAAGATCTAAGGCCCCAAACTAGGTCTGTTGGTTAAGAGTAGTGATAATACTTCCCAGCGCAATCATATGGAATGTTATCTTCCCAAAATATTTGTTTCATTTTCAGAGTGCACAGGATAGCATTCTATTTGGGAAAAAGGGAATACCAGAAACAACACCTTTTACTTCAGTAAAGTTCTGGCACCACTGTTTGTTTACTCAACAGTGCAAAGATCTCTTCTTGCACAGTTTTTCTCATAGAACTGGAAGGGACCTCAAGAGGTCATCTAGTCCAATCTCCAGCACTCAATGTAGGACTAAGTATTATCTAGACCATCCCTGACAGGTGTTTGTCCAACCTGCTCTTAAAAATCCCCAGTGATGGAGATTCCACAACCTCCCTAGGCAATTTATTCCAGTGCTTAACCACTCTACAGTTAGGAAGATTTTCATAATGTCCAACCTAAACCGTCCTTGCTGCAATTTAAGATCATTGCTTTTTGTTTTATCCTCAGAGGTTAAGAAGAACAATTTTTCTCCCTCCTCCTTGTAACATCCTTTTATGTACTTGAAAACTGTTATGTCCCCTCTCAGTCTTCTATTCTCCCGATTAACAAATCCAATTTTTTCAATCTTCCCTCATAGGTCATGTTTTCTAGACCTTGAATAATATTTCTTGCTCTTCTCTACACTTTCTTCACTTTATCCACATGTTTCCTGAAATGTGGCACCCAGAACTGGACACAATAGTCCAGCTGAGGCCTAATCAGCACAGAGTAGAGCGGAATAATTACTTCTCATGTCTTGCTTACAATACTCCTGCTAATACATCCAAGAATTATGTTTGGTTTTTTTGCAACAGTGTTACACTCTTGACTCATATTTAGCTTGTGGTTCACTATGACCCCCAGATCCCTTTCTGCAGTACTCATTTCTCATTTTGTATGTGAGAGACATGAGAGAGAACAGGAGGGGGCTTTGGCATTAGATCAAACTAGGGGGAACACGGCCTCCTGTGAGATGTACAGATTTCAAATAGGCCCCTGAGTGTATTAAGAATAATAAGTAGAGTACCTTCTGGCCTTAAATCAGAAAATCTACCAATTTATTCCCCTACCAAGGACACAACCAAGGTTACAGTATGTACCTTTGTTTACCTCCAAGTAATGTCTATCTCAATCTAACCAAAAATAATAGGAAACCAGCAATCCACACTGCATCTTGCTTGTGGAACAGAGATAAGTGAAGTTTGAATCTGAAATTTTCAGGAAACTGATCTGGAATGTTTAAACAATATCATTTAACTACCTTTGTGCAATGGATTAATACAAAGACCATTTTATAAATTTATATATGGATGGAGCCTTCTTTGCATGGCTAAAAAAGTCCACCCAGAAGATTAAACAAGGATATGGAAAAAGAGGATGTTTTCCTATGCAGACAAACCCATAATGTTGAGAGTTAATCAAGTCACAGAGTGTGAACACTATAGCATTTATGCAAGCTAGAAATAACTTCCTGTCTGAACCAAAGAAACTGAAGGTTACATGGGCCAAACTTCTTTATACCCCACAAGTCCAAAGCACATGTTTTCATTCCAAATTAAAACCCGTACCGTATCTGCCTTATCAATCAGATGTACCATCTTTCTATATGTGGATAATTTGTCTGGGTCCTCGAATATTTCTTATTTTATTGTAAGCTTTGAAGAATGTGAAATAAAATATATTAGATATAATCGAAGAACGTATGACCATGTTCACCAAATTCTGTGGAACTATAAAGGACTGTTTTCTTTCTAAATTATTGCTGCATTGTAGAAATTTTATGAATTATATGGCATAAGGAAGCATAAACACCTAACTTGTGTATAGTCTTAAAGTATTAAAAGATTCTTAAAAGAGGGAATTCTAATTAATAGGGCGCTCAAAACAAAATACAATCTTTGAAATGAATAAAATGTAAAAAACCTCTGACAAAGAAAGAAATGTGTTATATACCAAAACTATCTACTGGATATCAATGGAAGTAGCAGGAAAACTGGGGACTAGAAATCAGAAAGCTGGTTGACAAGTGGCAGCTTTTTTAATTCTACTGGACAACCTCCAATAATCCCTGAAAAGAAGGGTACCTCAGATTTTGCTGAACCCATCAAAGAAACTGTCTAACTCCAGAAGTGCTACCAGACACTTGGACAGCTTCTCCCTTCCTCCATGGTTACCAGGACTTTGAAATCTTTCTATTTCTTCTGAGGTTGATTTCTCTGTCTTTAATATAAGTCTAGGTAGTGGGTGGGGAAGAGCCTATTCAAGGCAATGAGCCATTAGGAAAAACAATAGGGCTTAGGAGAAGCTTATCTCCCAGCTGGGGACCCTTCCTGAGAATGTTACAGACAGCCTCCAAGTAATGGCTACTATGACTCTACAAGAACATGTGATAAGACCACGTCTCTAGACTCCATTTTGGGATGTCACTATTTTTCCCACAGACTGGTCTGAGAACGAAGCTTTGGGAACAAAGGGTTCCCGCCATATGCAAAAACTACATAAGGCAGGGAGTGACATCATCTGGTGTTCTTCACTCCCAAGAAGACACAAGAAGACTCCTGGAAACACCTGAGGAACAAAGACTGGACTGGCAGAAGTGCTGGACCCAGGCTAAAGGGATTTTTAGCTTGTGAAAGAAACACCTGGGGATTCCAAGCTATCACTTATAATCACTTTATGTCTATCTTTTGTAGTTAATAAACTTGTTTTTGCTTTATCTAAACCAGTGAGTTGGAGTGAGGTGTATGGGAATCATAACCCATGGGCAAAGGCTGTTGCATATTCCTCTCCACATTGAGTGACGCGGTGAATTTTATGAGCTTACGTGGTACAGTTCCCTGTGCAGCACAAAAACAGTTACCTACCTTATATAAAGTATAAAAAACAGTTACCTTTATATAAAGTATAAAAAAGTATATAAAAGTACTTTATATAAAGTATAAAAACCAGTTACCTACCTTTTGTAACTGTTCTTCGAGATGTGTTGCTCATGTCCATTCCAAGGAGGTGTGTGCACACCGCATGCACAGTTGTCAGAAGGTTTTCCCTTCGCGGTACCCGTCGGGTCGTCTGTGGAGCCCCCTGGAGTGGCGCTCTCATGTCGGTGTATATAGGTCCCTGCCGACCCGCCACCTCTTCAGTTCCTTCTTGCTGGACACTCCGACAGCAAGGAGGTGGGTGGGTCTTGGAATGGACATGAGCAACACATCTCGAAGAACAACAGTTACGAAAGGTCAGTAACCATTTTTCTTCAAGTGATTGCTCATGTCAACTCCAAGTAGATGACTCCCAAGCAGTCCCCCGGAGGAGGGCTCGGAGTTCACAGAGTTGCAGACTGAAGCACTGCTCTACCAAATGTGGCATTGTCTCTAGCCTGCTGAGTGATGGTGTAGTGCAAAGTAAAAGTGTGAACTGATGACCACATCGCCGCCCTGCAGATATTCTGAATGGGGACCTGTGCCGGGAATGCTGCAAAGGAAGCTTTTGCTCTTGTGGAGTGCGCTGTCAACGATGGAGCCAGTATCTTTGCCATGTCACAGCACAGGCCGTGATCCAAGAGGAGATTCTTTGTGATGAGACAGGAAGACCTTTCATCCTCTTGGCAATGGCAACGAAGAGCTGCGTTGACCTTCTAAATGGCTTTGTCCACTCAATGTAAAAAGCTAGCACGTGTCTAACGTCCAGGAAATGGAGCATGTGTTCCATGTCATTAGCATGTGGCTTGGTTGTAACTGCACCTTGTCCTTATAAAACACTGTATAAGGGGACTTGGACGTCAGAGCCTTAAGCTCTGACACTCTTCTGGCTGCTGTTATAGCCACCAAGTAAAAGAGAAAGTTGCCAAGGGCTCGACGGGAGGGCCCATCAGCCTAGAGAGCACCAAATTGAGATCCCATAAGGGAATCGGCCATCTTACTTGAGGGTATAGTCTGTCTAGACCCTTGAGAAAACGGCCAACCATACGGTTAACAAACACAGAGGCAAACTGAGCCAGGGTGGAAAGCCAAAATCACAGCCAGGTGAACCTTTGATGGTACTGCTAACCCCTGCTGTTTTAACTAGAGTAAATAGTC